TTCCTTTCTATCTCTGTCTCTCTCTGTCTTTGTGGCAAGCGCATGCACCTGCTAGCAAAAACCTCTCAAAAAAAGAAAAAGAAAAGAAAGAAAGAAAGAAACTATGTATTTCATCAGCATAATCAAATCTTGACATAGGAGATTGTGGTTTTGGCAAATAGTTCTTCAGGAATACATTTCTTTTGTTTGTTTTCATGGTATAGAAAGTGAAGTAGATGCCATTTCTTGCCCAATCACACATGTGTGTGTGTTAGTTAAGAGAGGGAGAGATCTCCAGGTTGACTTCTAGGTTCCAGACCTGGCCTGTGGTGTGGATGGCGGTTCTATTCCCAGTGCTCGGAATACAGGGGAAGTGTGGTTCGGGGGCAGGACGAAGAGTTCAGGTTTGCACATGTCCTGGAAGAGGAGCAATTAGAAATACCAGATATACTAGATAAGCGGTTGCTTAAATAGACTGAAGTCCAGGGGAAAGGTCTGGACTGGAGGTAAGGTTTGTGACTTGTTACCAGGTGGATGGTAAGTGAAACATGGGAACAGATGTGATATTTCTGGAAAGACACAGGAAGGGTAAACAAGGGAGACTGCATGATTGGCCAAGGCCAAGTCGTCTTTTTTTTTTTCTTTTCCCGAGGGGAAAAAAAAGGCTTGTTTTTGCTATAGGGTGCATGTGCTCAATGGAAAGGCAGAAAGTGAGACATTACTCCCCAGGGGGGATGACCATGCCACAATCCATTCTCCTCTCAGGATTATGGGCATGCACACACATGTGCCTAGCGTGAGTTTTAAGCCACCAGGTGCAGGACTGGAAGCTTGGTCGACTGCACGGGAGTCCAGAGACATTAACCACTATGTCCTCTGCTGGTCCCAGGCTAAGTCTTCCTCACAGGGACAGGCAGGAGGAAGCCCAAGACTGAGAGGAAAACAGGAGTTCTTGAATCCAGCACAGAAAGCGGGTCTCTCTGGGAATGGAGACATAGTATACCTCCCGTAATCTTTGGGGGATCAGAATCAAAACCAGAGCCAAGAGAGGATTAACAGGAAGGAGACTTGCGCTTGGACTGTTGTTGAGAAGAGATGGTGCTGAGAGCTCAGCATCAAACTGGGAGTGCCGGAGGAGCAATTGCCGTGAGCTGCTTCTCCTTCCCATGGGGCTAAGAGAGGCTAGGGGTGGGCCCCAATCCCCAAACACCCTTCGCAGTGCCAGGTGGTAGAAGGATCAGGCCCTGGACCGTTTCCCTTCAGGTCCTAAGCTCAGTAACAACCATTACCAGGGATCTGTTTGAACATAAAGATTCTTTCTTTCTTTCTTTTTTTTTTCCTTTGGTGGAGGGGAAGAGTGTCTTTTTTAAAAGTCAGGCTTGTGGGGCCAGCAGGTAGTGTGGTGGTTAAAGCACTGGACTCTCACATGGTCAACATTGTTCGAATCCTGGACCTGGTGGCTTGAAAATAGGCAGGGCACTTATGAGTGCATGCCCAAAATCCCAGGAGGAGAATGGAGAAGAGGGGATTGCAGCATGGCCATGCTTCCTTGGGAGCTGACTTCTCATTTCCCCTCTCTCTGTCTCTTCTCTCTCTTTCTCCAGTGAGTGCACATACCCAATGGTAAGATCCTTAAAAAGAAAAGAGAAAGAAAAAGAAAAAGGCTTGTTTCTCTTTATAATATTTATTGTTTGTTATTATAAATTGTTACATGTGCTAGCTCATGCATTTGTCTCCGGCACCCTCTGACAGAGGTACTGTCTAAGGCCGTATGGCTTTGTAAGTTGTGCAGCTCAGTATAAGAGACTTAGACGAGCCTCACATCCCTTTTACTGGAATTTTGCCTATCATGAATTTGAAACTTTGTTATTGTTGGGGCATGTCCTTTTTTATTTTTTATTTTGTTATATTTTTTAAAAATTTGCCAGAGAGTGTGTGTACTTGTCAGAGAGATAGAGAGAGAGAAAAAAGTGGCAGGAAGCACCCCCACCCATGGGGTGTGGTCATACCAGAATCCCTTGCCTGCTATTTGTCTATCCTATTAGGATTTGGGGCATGTATACACATACCAAGTGTGTTTTTCAAGCCAATGGTGCTAGAATTTGAACTGTGTGGTCAGCCATGTGAGTTCTAGCTCCTTTAACCACCAAGCCATAGGGCTGGCCCCATTCTTTTAAAAAAGGGGAGGTCCAGCAGGTTGCATGGCAGTTAAGGTGCCAGACTCCCACATGGCCAACGTGGTTTGAGTCTTGGATCCAGTGGCTTGAAAATCATGCTGGGCACATGTGCATGTGAACCCAAAATCCCAAGAGGAGAATTTTAGAATCCCAAGGGGTTGCAGTATGGCCCCCTGAGGACTGATTTCTCACTTTCCCTCTCTGTCTCTCTCTAGCAAGGACACAAACCCTATGACAAAAACCTAAGAAATAAGACAAAACAAAAACAAGATGAAAAAAAAATTATGAAGATCTGACAGTTCAAATTGAACCAGTAGTTTGTGATAAAATTGCCAAAGAAAATATCCTCAAAAAACTCTTTCTCAGGGCCAGCAGGTGGCATGGTGGTTAAGGTGCTGCACTCCCTTGGGTGACCACGGTTTGAGTCCTGGACCTGGTGACTTGCTTTCTCACTTTCCCCCTCTCTCTTTCTCTCTGGTGAGTGCGCCTGCCCTATAGCAATTTTTTTTTAAGCTCTTCCTTACCGTTCTCAGTTTTGGTCATAAAAATTGTTTTTGTTTATTATTGGGGGTAGTTGTTTATTTTTTCCCTTTAGACGCTTGCTAGCATTCTTATTATAATTAAATGTATAATTCCTTTTCTAGGATTTCAGTTTAATTTGTAGGACTGAGTCTTAAGAGGTTTTTATTTTTCTTAAAACTTAAATTATTGTTCAGAGAAGTAATAAGTTTGGAGAGGAGTAGCTTTTTGTCTTCATGATAGACGATCTCTTTGCCACTGAAGTGGACTTCTCTTGAGCAGTGCCTTTGGAGACCTGAGAGAGTTGCTGGGTTTCCTACAGTGACCTAGCAGACGTTTTTTTTTTTCCTTAAGAGAGATTGTTATTATAGGTTGTATGCAGTCACTGGAGAGACAGAAAGTGAGAAATCAACGTCCCAGTGGGTGGCCACGCCACAATCCCTTCTCCATTCTTCTCTTGGCAGTATAGGCACATACACACAGTGTATTTTAAGCCACTGGGTCTGGGACTTAAACTGTGGCCAATCACATGAGAGTCCAGTAATGCAACCATTACATCATCTGCTGGTCCTAATACTTCTCAACTCCCTCAATAATGTAAGGTTGTTGGGACCAGCAGTTAGCGTAATGGCTATGTCGCTGAACTCCCATGCAGCCGACCACAGTTCGAGTCCCAGACCTGGTGGCTTCAACTCACGCTAGGCACGTGTGCGTGCGTGCCCAGGATCCCGAGAGGAGAATGGAGGAGAAGGGATTGCAGCATGGCCATCCCCCCTGAAGGGTGATTTCTCACTTTCTATCTCTCTTTCTCTCTCTGTCTTTCTGGCGAGCGCATGTACCCTATAGCAAAAACCTCTCCAAAAAAAAAAAAAAGAGTGTAAGGTTGTTGACTATGTATTCTCAATATGCTATTTTTGTTTAAAGTTTTGTCATAGGCAAGTACACTCACAGGAGAGAGACAGTGAGCAGAAAGAAAAATCATCCTCCCCAGGGGAGATGGCCACACCACAATCTTTTCTCCTCCATACCCCTCCTGGGACTTTGGGCACACATGCATATGCACCTGGTGTGAGTTTCAAGCCACCAGGTCTGGGACTCGAACTGCAGTCGACCATGTGGGAGTCCAGTGCCTCAGCCACCATTCCACTTTCTACCTCCCTCCAATATGCTATTAGTGATTGTGTTTATGGTCACCTAATAGAATTGTACATGATGATCCAAAACAGATTGGAATTTTTGATTTGGTGAAGAAAAGGTTACAAAATTTACCTTTAAACCTTCAACATTCCCTTTGACTTAATGGGAATATTGAAGATTGTAACAGTCCAGTCACCTCAATTTCTAGATGTCATTCTAAAATGTGTACAGGGCTTACGGGAGCCCAGAGAGCCCCCTTTTCTGGAGAAATGGGCAAAAGACCAGGGAAAATCTCCCAGTAGGTAGTGATGCTGCATCCTGAAATCACAAAACAGTTTCTTTTTGTGAACCCAGGCCAACCTGTAGACTGAAGCTGTCAACATCACTTCATAGAGATGGGTTTTTTGAGGCTCAGTTTTGGCCCCGTAGGAAAG